CGAGTGTTCCCCAGGAGAGCATGCAAGTCGTCCAGCATCTTCTTCACGGTCGGGTGGTTGAGGCTCTCCGTGGAGTTGGCCGGCGCTCCCTTGCGGGGCGTGTAGAGCATCCTGAGGTTGCAGCATTGGCACTTCACCCATTGCCCCCAGGCGTTCGACTGCGGCGTGCCCGGTGTCTGCTTGTTGTAGCATGGCCACTGGGTGGCTTTGGTACGTGGATCCCTCGGATCCGCCTTGACCCTCCGAGCAGGATCGAAGGATCTTGGTCGACTCTTGGGTTTGGCCTTGGCCGTCTTGGCTTTCAAAGCTGCTGCGAGGATCTCCTCGGCCTCCGGGTCGATCGTCGGGGCCGTCTGCGCAGCGTAAGCCATTAGTCCGCGTAGAGGAAGTTGTCGGGGAGAGTTGGGCGTTAATCGCACCACACATTTGAGCTGTCACAGCTGTGGACGGAGCAGAGTTCCGACTGTGCCAATAAAGCTGCCACATGCGATCACGAGAAACTTCCAACTCATGTTCATGCGGATCACGCTCTCCATGTGCCATGTCAAACCAAACAGTGGCAAGCTCAAGCATATGATGATGTCCTGCTGTTGTTGACTGTGGGGCATTCCGTACTATCACGTGAGCTTGACCTTCATGGCATGTCTGACCTTTGGTTAGGTACTGAACAATGTCCAGGGTGTAGTGACCTTTCCGATTGGCTTCAAGCTGAAAGATGCGAGGTTGAGGCTCCTTGGTCATCATAGCCAGGCCGGTTGCAAAGTCTATCATCATGCCCACACCAGCCTTTCCTAAGAAGTCCATGCCAATCAGAACAGGAACCAACGAAGTGGAGGCATAATGCGACTCATAGTACTCTGCTGGGTTTGGAAGGGTGTACAAGGAGAACTGCAAGGGATTTCCTGAGACGTTGCTGTGGATGTGGGTTCTACAAACTGCCCTGCCCCAACGACCGTTCCCGAAACGAAAGTATGGCCGCGCCGACTGGTCCAGTTCGATGCGTGCAGTCTTGTCCTTGGAAAGGACTGCCGAGATCAATCCTTGGACCACCGCTTCTGGAGCAGCGGAGGCTGTGGCTCCGCAGTCCAACATTCCCACGCGGCTCGTATCGGCCTCGGGGTTAGCACTAGCTGAATTCAACTCCATCGTGTCACTCACTTCCAAGCCACCAATGAAGTAGTCAGTCATGTAAGCGTTGACGGAGCGGTTGGTGTCCTTGGAGTTGCTCTTAGCACCACGGTGTTTGCCTTTGCCCTTCATCCAGGCTTGTGAATCCATCCACATGGCACGCTTGCCCTTGC